GAGAAGCTCTTTTTTAGTATGTGCAGAATTAGTTTGATTGATCAGATTTGACACCAGTCAGGGAAGAGAGAGCAAGAACACATTCCAAGTTGGTTTTCTCTTCTGTATTCTCTGAGTATTATGAATATTTTTTCCCCTCAGCTGTCATAGTCTTCTAATAAATGCTTTCCTTCCATTAAATTTTTTAAAATGAGATTCTCTCTGTAACAAAATCCGCAGTTTAAAAATAACTTCTGTGATGTACTTTTATGGTGGCAATTTCAAAGCCTGTGGAGATGGTGCTGGAAGATGCTTCTAATCTAATAATGAAATGTGTATAGCATACATGGAGAAGAGAAGAGTAGCTGGAATCAGCTTATTTTTCTTTTCTTGTGTTCTTGCTTCTTCAGCTATTTCTTCTATCTTCCCCTTTTAATTGCAAGACAGGGCTGAGGAATGTAGAATTGTAGCTGTCAGAAAAACTAGAAGAAAAGGTCTGTTTCCATAATCTTGCAGCTTCTTCTGTTTCAGGAGCCTGCTGGAATCACTGCAGCCTCTTTTCAGAAAAGAACAGCATAGTCTGCTTCATCTCTAACTGCTGTCAACTGTTTAAGCTTTCCTTTCCCCAGCCCTCACTCAGAACATGTTTTTAGCTCAGCTAGGGATGTTATTACTAACTGGTGAACAAACCTGAATACTGAACATGGCAAACGATTGACATTTTTAAAGGTAATCATAGAAACTCTTCATCCAGCAGCTGCTGAGGCTGCTCTGGATGCTGATACCCCATCTGATGCCAGGGGTGAAAAGCCTGTACAGTGTCAGCTCGAGACAAGTGGCTGTAAAATGGCAAGAAAGAAGTTTGATTTTCACGACACTGTCATAGTTTGTGTCAAGCACACTTTCTTGACTGGGAGACCAACAGGAGACACATTCCTGCTAATACCTGCACACTCAAAGTGCTGTAGTTTGGAAAACACCTCTTGCACAAAGCTGAAAATACCACATTAGTAAGAAACTGTCCTATTAATTGAACAAATTGCATCAACTATTTTTTTTCTTTATTTCCCATTTTGATGTATTTCTGGAGGAAAAAAAATATGACAGGTAACTGCTTCGGCACAGAGGGTGGGGGATTGTGGGCAACTTGTAATATTTGGGATGAGCAAAAAAGCCATTGCTGAATTTAGAAATAGAAAGGCAATTCATTTATGGGGAATTAAGCTCCTAACCCCATTTGTTTCTCTGGAAACACACTCTTATTTCAGAAGCTCTGATCAATGCCTACAGTGCAGGCTCTGCTGTGGCTGTCACCATTCTGTGCTCTGCTGACCACAGCACTGACACCTGGCCTCTGGTCCTGTTTGCTTAACCCAAATCTAGCACTTTACTTTTTGAATAATTCAACATATCTACTAGATATAGATGTTGAATTTTCTCATGCTCCCATCTGCAGGAATGGCAGAATTGAATGGAGGAGTCCAGACTCCCTTCACTCAACTTGCTGTTTGTGGTGGGCCAGCCCAGTCCTGTGAAGCAGCAAGTGAGATTTTTTTTTCTCTTCTTGAAAGCAGAATTGTCATTGGGTTTGTTACTGTGGCTTGGTAGGATTTCCTTTAGCTAGGTTACTATTTCTTTGCAGACTGCCCCAATTCTCCTGTTTCTTTGGACTTTGAGCTTCTCTTTTGCTAAGATCTTCCCTCAAGTATGGGATGTTTTCTGCTGGGTGAGGTCCCTTAGCAGGGAGCCCTTCAGCTCTCATTGTGCTGGGAGCAGATGCTACCTCAGGGGCTCTGGGTTTAATTGTTGTTTACACATACTCAGACCTACTGACCCTGCAGCACATGAGTGTGAAGAGGAGTTGAAAGGGTTACACGTGTGCTTGGCAATGTGGATTTTTAGTGTGCACCAAAATGAGCTGCTTCTCTGAGAACAGGTGTTGTTGGGACACAGACTCTTAGAAATCCCAATACTTTCTGGGGTGGCTATTTCCCCCTTAATTGTCATTTAGGTGAAAACTGCCCTGTTTAGAGAAACAACTTGATTAGCCACCCTCTTCCAGTATTGTGTAATCCCTTCATCTCTATTAACTTTCATCTGATGAGAGGATTGGAAAGTATTTTGCTGTAGTGACTGGAGTGGTGGTAGGAAAGGAGGCTTTTAGGTGAATTTCCAAGTGGTTTTTCACCTTTTCACCTTGCTGGATGGGAGGGCTGAGGGTCTTTAAGGAAGCAAATGCATTTTCAGCTGCCCCATTTTTACTTTTAAAAGTGTTTCTCTCAATAAAGCAGTGGGCTGTACATCTATTAATAACATCCTTACATGGAAACAAGTGCTCAGTTACGTCTCAGAGAGGACAGATCAGCTTTTTTGAGGTTTGCTGCCTCCTGTGAACTCTGACACAATCTGATTTAATTTGTAACAGCAAAGACTTTCAGTGGTTAATTACATTAACTCTAGGGACCAGAACTTTGAGGTCATTAATATATTCAGTAGCATTTATGAGCTTAAATACCCAGAAGGAGCTCAAGTACAAATCCCATGAACCCCCCCAATGGAAAAAAACAATATCAAAACCATAAAGCCTTGTCTTTGCCTTCTGGAAAATGTTCCTTTTGCTGTACTTCTACACATGTACAAGCTATTGTAAGCTATTTTTTTATATTTAAAATTGATCACTTTAGTAAAGTCCCCAAAAAAATCCCCAAACCAAAACAAAAACCAAAGAATTAATCCTAGACATCAGGGTAACAAATCTGAAGGATTAATACATATTTGTGAATTTCAAGCTTTATAATTCAACATTTGTAGTTTATTTCATACTTTTTTTCCTGGCCAGACTGAACATTTTTATTCAACAACTGCTCTCAGAGTAGGATTTGCTGAGCACTTTCAATAATAGCGACACTATTTTAATTCTGCCCTGGTGTTCTGGGACCTCATCTTGGTCTTGGAGGCCACATCTTCCCGGAATTTTATACAAGAAGCAACAGAAAAGAACATTAATCTAACAGAGCCGCAACTTCACTGCCAACTAAAAAAGAGGAGCCAACAGATTCTAACTTGGATTAAAAGTCACCTGTGAACAGAGGCAAAATATTCCCGCAGGCACAGGGCATCTCTCTGAAGAGAAATTGTTGAAAATGCAAATGGCTGCAGGAGAGTTCAGTGTGATTGCTTCGTGTTTCACAGGCACTGTGGTCTCGTGTGCCCCAGGTCAGCTCTCAGGAGATGAACAGCCAAGATTTCTGATTTCTGGAAGACCAGTGGCAGCTTTTCATATGCCATCTTCAAACTCCTCCGGTTTGCTTTGCAGGCAGAGTCACTCTTGTGAAGGATTCCTTCGGGGGCCTGGATAACAGATGTGAGCATGGCCCCCTCGTGCAGCCTGACAGCACAGGGCAAGTACTAGAGAAGAAGAAAAGCAACTTTTTAAAAAATTATTATTATTTTCTCTCCAAGCTCAGAGCTGTCACATCAGCTCTTCCAGTTGTGAAGGCATCCTTGACAGGACATCACATCTTAATAATGCCAAACATCATCTTCACCATAGCTCTTAAAAGTAGGCAGGGGCTCATAATCAGTTCAGACTCCATTGGAAGGCCATCAGCTGGATGAGGAACAATTGACCTTTCAGGAAGATGTGTACAATTAGAGGAAAGCTAGATAAAAGTACAGACAAGATAGAGTGAAATTGGAAAGCAGCATATTTGTATCAGATAAGAACAAGTGGGTGCTGGGATATAGGTTCTCCCAGTTTTCAGGTGGAGAAAATGCATCTGAAATCTACTTTCCAGGAGGTGGGTTCACCACAACTGTGTGCTCAGAAGAGTGTGATAAGGGCTGTCTTTCAGTTTGATGATAAATCCACATTCCAGTGGAGAAACCAGTCACACACACAGCACCATCAAACTCCCTCTTCTTACTGGCTTAACTTGACAAAACAGTCTCCTATTTACCTGCTTCACATCCAAGGCAATCTGGAAGTTCACTGATAATTGTTATTAAATTTTGTGCCTCCTATTTGCCTCTCATTTCTTGCTCAGGAGAGGAGGCAAATGAGGATAGATTTAAGGAGGGTGAGCATGAGGAGATCAGAGTGAAAGCATGGGAAACTGAAATTTGGAGTCTCCAGTTGAGAAAACTCTCACGTTTGGCACAATGTAAAGGCCAAAATGCTCTGACCTGAGCAGGGGCCATTGATTTCTCTCAGAGGCTGTTGTCCTGGGCTGGAAAGAGGAAAGGCAGGAGAAGCAAACAGGCAGCAGAGTCTTCCTGATAGGCAAGAGTGATTCTACTAGCAGTACTTAATGAGCAGAAAAATCATTGATTAGCTTACTGTAGTGGGCAGACTAGAGAAGAAAAGTTCTTGAAATGAGACTTAGAGCAAACTGTTTGTGAGATAACATTAAAGCCTGTCTGGTCTTTGATCCTAAAATTGAAGAAAGTAAAGGAAAGAGATGGTCTGAACCAGTGATCTGATGCCTTGAAAGATTTCAAGTTGAAGTGGAGGGGCGGAGGGGCACAGATGGAGAGAGGTACACAAATACTATTCATGACATTTTATCTCAAAATGTCAAGTGCTAAAGCTCTGAAAATATGCTTACATGATAGAGGCAGCACTGCATAATTGAAGTCCCATGAGAGTTAAGGAAATCTGTACTTTCTGGCCTTTATTTGTTTAAAAATAAAAGCTTTGTCAACACTGTATGTACTGCTGAGTGCATATGGCACTAAATCTCAGTGTAAAGTGCTGAGGTTTCAGGGATTGAGCAGAGATGTTCCCTGTGGCACCTTTCCCTTTGATCTCAGAGACTGACCTTTGGCAGCCTTTGCCCCTACTTTACATCTGTCCTGCCCTTTTCTGAATTCCTGGGTACAAGAACTGACATCATTTTGCTCTGAAACAAGGGAATATATGTGTTGAGTTGGTATATGTAAAAAAAATGGTGGAAATGCTCATGTGTTGAGTTGGTATATGTCAAAAATGGTGAAAATGCTCGTCTTTATTTTTATCACTTAGGAAACGTGCATCACTGAGTGTTGAAATGTTAAACCTAGAATTCTGGAAGGGTCCTAGCTCAGCAATCTCTCCCAGAGACAAGTGAGTCTTTTGCTTCTTCAGTTCTTCGGTACCCCGAAAAATGTGTCCACATTTCTACAGGAGTGCCCTTGAGAGAGTCTGGCCTGGAAATTGGTTCTGAATATTCCCCACCCACTCATGTTTTCCCAAGACGACCCTGGCTCCGCTCTTGGCCAGAAACTCCCCTGCAGAAATGTCGCTGGGCTGTCGGCAGGAATCCTGTGCAACAGCAACAAACATGTGGGACACGCTTCCCTGGTATTGGAGGGAAGCCTGTTTGTGTCAGCTGCATTAGAAAGATTGTTCCAGAACAGTTCATCCATGTGTAAAGTTTCCCCTGTAATTCTTCCAGGGCTGAGGAGCTCAGGGAGATCTGCTGGCAACAGCGCCGGCGGCTCTTCCCTCCACCCAATTTTTCCAAGGTGCTGGAGGTCAGAGAGGAGCAGATTTGTAATTTGCTTGTCTGAACCAGTTCTTCTGCCTTGTTTAGTGTAGCTGGAGTTTTCATGCTGTGAATCAAACTTCCAGGGATAAAATACTGCAGAATTTAAATGGGAGAGCCCCATCTCCCCACCCTGCAATTTGCCTTATGCAGATAAAAATGGGGAGAGAGCTTGTTGCAGGCTCTCCCCTTTGGAAGCTATTTAGCATTATAAATCACAGGTACACTTTGCAGTGGGCCTTCTGGTTGTTTATCTTTAGATAATTACACAACATGGGCTATTTTTCCTCTCTCTTTTGAGGAAAGTATTGTGGGAGTTACTTTGGTTTCTTTGAATTTAACCTTTGTTAGCTTTGGAGGAAAAAAATTCATTTTCTCTTACTCAAAGTAAATTAGGTGTATTCATTATAGCAACTCAGAGGATTAAGCACAATTATTGGTTTTGTTTTTTTTTTTTTTCCCTCGGAGTAATGATTTAATTGCTTTGATTTTGTTTTTTCATATCCTGAGGAAAAAAAAAATATGATAGTAGAAGAAAATGCCTTTAACTATTCTTTTCCATACAGTGTGTGCTTCTGTATGCCTGGCAGAACTTGCCTTATGCTAACCTTGTCCTTCTAGTGCCCTGCTTAGAGATTTCAGTTCCTAAAATTTTAAGGCTTTGTGTAGGTGTGTGTGTATATGTGCCAACACACAAAAACAAAATACATTATACAAGCATACATAAATATATGTTTATATAAAAATATTTTTGTGTATGTGTGTGTCTATATATGTACACACACATATAAAAATAAAATAAATACTGGCTTTCCCTTTAACTTTGAAAGTGTTTTGTTTTCTTTCAGCTCCAGCAAACTGGATTGAATTACAGCTGAATTGAATGCACTTCTACAGCACCTTCCCTCAGGGATCTAAACCAATTTTCTCACCATTGCTAAATGCTGAACTTCCCCTGTACCCTCACAGAGTAAGTAGGATGCTGCTATCTGAGCTCCAGGGTAGGAAAATTAGGAAAAGTGTTGAATGCAACATACTGGAAAAGAAAGTGATAAGATATTTAGCTCTTGGTTTTGAATACTGTTGTGTGTTCACACAGTTGTACTTTTCTGGGGGACTGAAGCCTTGCAATGTGTAACCTTCCTATGGGAAAAGGAAGGGCTTTATATATATTCAGCCCTGTAGCAGTGTGTTTGGTCAGTGTGGGGCACAGCTTTGGGATGGAGTAGGAAGGAGCAGGAAAAGATATTTTTGGGAAATATGGAGTGTACTTCTGACTTGACCCCTGATCTGTTTTAGCTTGACCAGTCACACTGTGGGCTCCAGCTTCTGAAAAAAGGCATTTAGAAATCAATTCAGGGAGGAGAGGGGAAGAAAACAGCTGCAGTTCTCAGGTGCTTGTCCATTGCAACCCCTGGCCAAGGCCAAGGGAGCTCCTATGTCAGATCTGATGCAAAGGGTTCAATGTACGGTGACAGGGACAGAAGATTTACCTCCCAGACTTTTTTTTGTTCAGTTTCTTGCGTGGCCATTCTGTGTTTTAACAAACAAAGGGAGAGTGTGATGATATTCACCATCCTTTGGAGATTCCTCGGTGGTTGTGTTCCTAATAAACTAAAAAGAAAGCTGACTGCAGGAAGGTTGGTGGCTAGGTTAATATACACTGTAGTGGAGTCATTTAAAATAATCCAAGCAAAGAAAGGAGATTTATATAAAAGTACATTTCCATTACTTGTGCCTCTGGCACAGTAATGTCTCATCTAGCATAGCAAAAAGCTAACAACATTATTCTTGTTTCTCTTTGTAACATCCATAGCCTTTAGTACTGCTATCCTTTGTTAATTTTCCAAAGACTAGTTGTTAATTAAGAGACACATTTGACTCAAAGGCAAGTCTTGACTGAAAAGAGCTCAGAGAACATGGCAGGAGTCTTGTGTTTTGGGATTTTTACATTATTTTTGAAACAACATCTAATTTTGAGCATGTCAAGATCCAGTTAAAATTTTGATGAGTGGGATCCAAGCTCCCATTGATGTCTTCATGGCAGTGGCATTTGATCACTCTTTCTTAGCTGGAACAGTAGGACAGGTCTATTTTTTGGATGGGTGAAAGAAGTCCACTTTAAACAAGTACAGTTAGGTTTTGATTTCCTTCCTACCCTTTTTCCCCCCAGAAGACTCAAGATCAGTCATTGAACACCACAGGTATGGCAGCACATTTAAACCCACTTTCTTTTACATTTTTTGTAAGGGCTTAGCACCTGGTGAGCATGAAAGTAGAGTTACTACTTAGCAAAGTCTGGCTACTTGCTTTGGTACTGAAATAGAAACAGCTTTCTTCTAAAAATCAATCCCAAAGGGCCAAGACTAAAGTGTTTTGCATTCCCATTACTTTGAATGGAAATTTCTCCTTACTAAGGAGTTTGGCATTGGGATTGCTTAGAGAGCCAGGCACTCCTTTTATGCAGGTCCATTAATTTTGATTCTGCTAAATGTGTATTCCTAATTGCAATAAGTCAATGTACCTAAAGAGATCAGAGGAAGGAACTGATCCAGAAGGGGGAAAACTTGTTACTGTGTGCTTTGAAGCTGTGAGATTGAGTGACCACATCATCTTGGCTGTGACTTTCAGATGGGTAAAGTGAATGTATGGCTTTTAAGAGATACATGGTATAATTAATGATTAATCAGGGCCCTTTGTTTTGCACAACTTTCAATTGTGCAGTCAAGGCTTGTGTGTATAATGGATGGTTTATATTTTCTTTCTTGTGCAACTTACCTTTGTTGACTGCACCTCTTTGCTGCTGATGTCTGTAAGCTCTAATAAATTGAGGAGTTGAGACAGACAGTTCCTTAGGCAAGAGCTCTCCCTTGGCTGGTGATGCTGGTGAGACCTGCCTAGACTATAAAAGGCTCAGAAAAAGGGACAAGCTTTTGGCTGGAAGGCATAAGGGAAGTGGAACAACTTTTACATCCCTCCTTCATCTCTTTTCTTGGATATTTAATTGGCATTAGGAAACAGAGCAGGTCATTGGATTAATAAACAAAAAAAAAAAGTACTGTTTGAGTCAGAAATACCCTTAGGAATTCTCCTGTTGGTAGTGTTTGTACTGATGTTATGAATTCCAAGATACTTAGTGGTTTTTAGAAATACCTTAGCTGTTGTCAGGGTGGTGTGATAAAGCAAAAACCTGAGCTCTCGTCCTAGAAAAGATGCTTGGCCACATATTTGGGGAGAACAGCCTGAAGATGTGAGGTTTTGGATTTGAGTGCACAAAGAAAGCTCACTGAGCAAATACAAAGCCCTGCACAGCTTTCGTTCCTGTGGTGTTGCTGTCTTGTATAAATATCCAGAAAGTACTGGCTTATAATTTTGTGTTTATTAAGAAAATATATCTTTCACCAGCTGCTGCTTCCTTGCTCTCAAAAGCCTGCTTTACTCATACTTAATGCCATAACACTGCAGGTCAAATAAGAGATCCTGTATGACACAGTCCATTGTCATTTTCCAGGCAGTATCTGCATCAAGCCAACAGCTTTCAGTTGACTAGAGAACTTGGCTTTTTTTCCTGTGTTTACCTGGAAACTTGTCCCTTGAAAACATGGTCAACAACTGCTTCTCTCCTCTGTTTATTGTTTCTCCCCCTTCCCATTTTTTAGTGTTGTCTCCTGGCAAGAGCCTGTGACTTGAAAGGGAAAGGGTCAGAGAGATGAGAATGGCTGGACTCCATATCCTCACAGAATAGCAGCTCTGTGGTCATGGGAGGAAGAATCATGACTCTCCTTTCATCTTTACAGAGAAGAGAGGATCCACCAGAAAATGGTTTGGGCTGAAATGGATTTTAAAGCTCATCTTATTCCAACTCCCATGCCATGGGCAGGGACACCTCCCACTATCCCAGGTTGCTCCAAGCCCTCTCCAGCCTGGCCTTGGGCACTTCCAGGGATGGAGCAGCCACAGCTTCTCTGGGCACCCTGTGCCACTGCCTCTGAACCCTCACAGGGAAGGATTACTTTCTTTTCAGCTAAACCTGTCCTCCTTCAATTGAAAGCCATTACACTTTGTTCCATAGCTATTTGCTCTTTTCCAAAGTCCCTCTCCAGCCCTCTGAGTCCCTTTAGACACTGGGAGGGGCTTGAAGGTCTCCCTAGGGCCTTCTCTTCTCCAGGCTGAACTCTGGCTGTTTTCACAAGAGGTGCTCCAGCCCCATGAGCATCTTTGTGGCCTCCTCCGTCCAGACTCCAACAGATCCCTGTCCTCCTGTGTTTAAGAGTAACCGTTTAAGAGTAACAGGCAAAAATGAAAACCTGGTGGTTGAGTCTGTCACAACATTCCTGCCTTTTTCTCCTGCTGCACAGGGGAGGGAAAATACTTCTTGTCCATGGGGGATGAAGTGAGAAAGGATGTGCTTCAACTGCAGCAAGTGAGATTTACTTTTGTGACAAAAACTTTCTAGGATGAAATATACCATTAGACTGCTTATGGGGGTTGTGGTAATTTGTCCTTGCAGGTCCTTAAGAATATGTTAGAAAAACATCTGTCAGGAATGATAGTTGTAGAGCTGCTCCTGCTGTGGGGTATGGAGGTGGACTAGATAACCTCTGGAGATCCCTTTCAGCCCTGTTTTCTATGAGCTCTAATCCAGAACATTTCATTACTCATCCCTTGAAGCCCCAAAGGTGACAGGACTATCATACTTCATTTTTACCCTTACACAATCTTTTTTCCTGGATGGTTTTTACTCATTCAGTGGTCTGGCTTCAGTTACATTTGTCATATGATTCCCTTACAGCCTCTGTGTATTAATTTTTTTTTTTCAGTCCATGCCCTTTAGGCCTTTTGTCTCTGTTTTTTAAATGGATCTCACTAACTTTGAAACTTTCTGAAAGAAAAAGTTGCTGCAAACTTAGATTTTTTTAAAAGATTTTTGAGATTTCAAATTAGATAAAATGAGTTAAAGCTGCTGTTAACTACTGATGTCATGTTCAGTGCTGCAGCAGACACAGGAATAGGAACTGGTTTTGCTTTGTTGAAGTGAGATAAATGTGAACAGGAGCAGATGAATGAGATGGGGAACTGCCCAGGACAGAGGCTATTCTGCTTGTTTGTCCAGGGCTTGGTACAGTGTGGCCCTGAGCTCTGAGTGAAGAGCTGCTCTAATAACCTTATTTACGATGGGAAGCACTCGAGGGACTGGGTACATGTGTACAGTGTGCACAAGGTGCTGCTGTAAGGTATAAAAGAACTAAGGTTTGTGCTTTGAAGTGATCATGTGGTGATTTAGGGGTGATTTAAAAACACAGTAAATTAAAAGATAACCAAACCAGTGTGATCCTGTAAGTGCTGGGTTTTTATTCAGGAGTCATAGTGGCAGTAAATACCTGCACAGCCCTCTCTGGCACAGCTGGGCATTTCACAAGCTGGTGTGAAATAGTAGGTTCCCATTATATTTGCCCTTTTTCATCTCTTCCTGACATGGAATTGAATTTATTCTATTACTGGTGTGTGTTGATTTTTAAGTGGTTTCCTTGCAGGTTTGTTTTAGGACTTCTCTGACTCTCAAATTTGGATTGGTAAAGTGGAAGATTTCACAGTAAAAACAAAGGTATCAGGCTCGAGGTAAACAAACATCCTGCTTTATTTCATTGTAGTTTTCCAGTTCAGCTCCAGGGTGCCTTGGCCTGTGAAACAGCTGTGCTAATTCTGCCTGTGGCTGGGTGCAATTGCTGCAGCCAGAGCTGGCCAGAGGAAGGTGCTTGGAGCAGTCCCTGCTGTGGTGAGTGCCCCACTCCCTGCTCTGGGTTTGGGGAGAAGCTCCAAACACGCTCAGGACATCGTGCTCCTTTCCACAGCTGCCCACATCTTCCTTGGCCCTTTTGTTGGCCTTCTTCATCTTCCTCCCTGGCTTAAAATGACAGTCAGAAGATGAGAAATCCCTGGGGGTGTTCTGCACAGGGCAGTGATTCACAT